TTATAACTAACTGCTACTATATGGGAAGCCCTGAACTAAGGATGTTCGAGAGTAGTTGACTCCCCGATAAGCTTTTGCTTATCGGGTAGTCAAGCAGAGTATCATCTACTTGGCTTCCAGGGAGAAATACTGTAGCTGGTGCTGGGGGAAGCCGACTTAAAAGCTGGTTCCCCTTCATACCGTCTCCACAATGAGCCGTTCTCTCTATCAGAAGCAGTGGAGGAAGAGGAAGGGTGGGGAAATAGAGGAGGCTGCTGCAAAGCAGCCTTTGTCTGCAGCAGGTTGAGGCCTGTTCACCGCAGAGAGTCCTGGCTCATGCTGGTTGCTGCGCCTCTGCATTTTAAATATAGTAAGAGCCGCTGGACTCTTACTACATTTCAAATGCAGAGTCACAGCATGGGTGGCTCCCAGAGTTGACACGAGCCAGGACTGCTGAGTCCCAGCTAGAGCAGGCTCCTGAAGCTACCCACTGTAGCTCTGCAGAGCAGTGCTTATCGATTAATCATGTAGTTGGTACAAATTGTATCAGCTACATGATTAGCCTGATAACCACAATTTAACATCCTTACCTTGAACCTCATTTCTCTGTCCCATCCCCTCGCTCTGTGGAGCTGGGATGCCAGAGGAGTAAGGTATCTTAGTTGGGGGCCAGATTAGTATTGGTTGGTGGTTTTTGGAGAAATGTTTTTGCTTCTCATTTGTGTGGTCCCCAGCAGATTTTTCTGTGGGTCAGTGGCCCCCCAACCCAAAAAGTGTTCCTCGCCACTGCCATAAAGAAAACATTGAAACCTTTTGTTTTGGTCATAAATCAATATTTTACTTTATTTAAAATGAAGTTTGATAAACTAACACAAGAAAGATAAAACGTAATCTGTTTGGCTTAATTTAAATTAAACCATTCTCCCTAGCTGCAGCACTAGCAAAATGGCTCAAGCCATTATGTAATTAACAGTGAGTTTCCGTTAGCAACTGGTGGTCCACGGAAAGGTTTACATTGAGCCAGGTGGCTCATGGGCCAAAAGGTTTGAGAACCACTGAAAAAGAGGCACTTCCGGCCTCTCCCCAAGTTAATGCAATGCAAGTTGGAGTTGGATCGATGCAATTGCCATATAGTTGTATGGGAGGGTCCTTTGGGGGCCAAACCCATCCCTATTGGCAGAGGACAGTGGGAGGAGTTCTTAGAGGGATCACACAACACCCTTTACTTCCAGTCACATGTTCATCTTAACCCTGGAAGTACTACCTCCAGGGGTGGGGCTTTGCGTGTCAAGTGTGCTTGGCTTAAGGGATCAGGGGTGTGGCTAGGGAGGCCAGGGACATGGCTGGTATGTCCCTATTTTGGGTTCAGAAAATATGGTCACCGTAACTATATTTTTGCCCTCCCAAAAATTTTTTTAAAAAAAAAAAAAAAAAAAAAAAAAAAAAGGTTTTTCTATTGGCTTTAGATTGTAGTAAAATTTTCAGTGCCTCATGACTCTGCCCTAATAGTCACAACCCACCAATTAAGAAATACAGATCTAGTTCCTCTCCCTGGCAATGCATGATTGTTTGTCCATTTATCAGTTTTACAGTCTAGTTTTAAAGTGTCCCAAGTGATAGGATACTCGGACTTACCAGAGATAGAGAGAAACACACAACAGATGGGAATAGTCATATACTACCATGAAGGGACTATTCACATTATTTGCATCACAGTAGAAACTAGAGGCCCCAAGATGAAGCCTCCCCTTGTGTTGGAAGTTGCACAAGCTGGGTCTTCACAGCAGCATTTGCACAGGTGATTAGCACCCAGGTCCCAGCACACAGGTTAGTTTAGTCCAGGACTGAGCCGCTACACTGCAAGCCATACCCGTATTACTTTCTTTTCGCTGGGGTCGCATTCTCCCATGTGGCTCACTGCATTTCTGGGGGAGTATTTTTGCACTATGGATTCCAGTGACTTGTGGGAGAACATGCTGTTCTTCAGGCCACATTGGGGAGTTGTGGGTAGGCACTGGAAGACGACGATCAGTGAACGTGGATGCGTTACTAGTCCAGAGTGGAACTTGGGCTCTAACTCACACCACACCAGGCAAGCCAACTAGACTGGCTTGAATGCACCACTCAAAGGGAGGAGTTTGCATGTGTGGATGGGAGGACATCAAGGTAACACCCAAGTAAAAGCCTCTGCTAATTCCACACTGAAGATATACCCACAAAGAGAAAGTCCCTGTCCTGAAGACCTGAACTAATAATACAATTTTCAAAAGCACTGACTTAGAAGTCTACATCCCACTGGGTACATCTAGACAGCGGCGCTATTTCGGGATACGTATCCCGAAACAGCATTTTCTGCATTTTAGCAACAAGCCCATTATTCCAAAATATATTCAAAACAACAGGCTTGCTATTCTGACATCCTGGTAAACCTCGCTCCACAAGGATTAAGGGATGTGTCAGAATAGTGGTCTATTTTGAAAATTGGCACTGTTTAGACAGCACCAAATATCAAAACAGACCACCTCGAAATAAGCTATGCAATTTGCATAGCTTGAATTGCATAGCTTATTTCGAGCTACGCAATGCTGTACCCTCATTAGGAGCTTTTGAATATTGTAGTGCACATTTGTACAATGGAGCAGGAGCTGGCTGATTCTAGCAGGACTTATCTGCATCAACATGATAAACGTGAAAAAGGAAGGATTATTACACTTACTTCACACATGGGATTGAGGACTTGTCAACACTTTAAACTTTACAGCAGCATAGATGCACCACTGCAGCACGGACACAAGATACATTGATGGGCAGGACTTTTCAGTGAGTGTAGGTAATCCACCTTTCCCAACATACAGCAGCAAGATTGACAGAACAATTTTCCATTGACTTAGCCCAGTTAACACCAGAGGTTAGGTTGGCTTAACTAGACTGCTCAAGGCTGTGCATTCATCAATTCCCTCAAGTGACGTAATTGAGTGGTCCTGACTTTTTAGTCAGGACCACTCAATTAGATCACACAGCGAGTCTCTTGCAGAGAACAAAATTGAAGCCCTTATCTCCGCAATTCCAGTCCAATGCCCTAACTACAAGGCCATCCTTCTTTTCAAAGGTAGACTAGAGAATCAGATTGGTTTAGGCTCTGTATTATGAAAACAAATAATTTTCTAGTAACCTAAGGAAGGAACTGGGAACAGGAAGCTGTGTTCTAGTCCTAGTATTGTCAAACTCGTTCTACAAATGTGAATGTAACTTCTCATCTCAACAATTCTCTGAGATACAACAGATGCAAAGGATGGCAAATCTTAACTAAGTCACATTTCCCAGTGCTTTCAAATCCTTGGATGGAAGCTGACAAAAGGGCACAAAGACTAGTTAATACATACCTTCTTGTCCCTTCAATTATCATCTTCAGACAATGTTTAAAGATATCCTCAAACGAGCCAGTGAGCTGACAGTTCTACAGACAAAGAAAGAAGAATTTGACTTGCAGCAAGGGTGCTTGGTTTCTTTCAGGAAAGTCACACAGACCATGCCAAGAGCACAGCTCAGCCAACAGACTGGGAAAAACTCTGATTATTTAGATGGTTGGAGGAGGTTATGCCAACCAAAATTTGAAGGTCATCCTATAAAGGGCTGCCCATAAAGTTAATAAATCCTGGTTTCATTTAGTAACATGGTAAGAGCCTCCAAGGGAGACCGGGATGCATCCAAGTAGAGAAGTCTTGTGTGTTTGAGTTGCCTGGCAATTCAAGGATTCTAATGGGCAGTAAATAATTCTGACAAGACTCATCCAAAGTCTTAGGTCAAGGACTATCCCTCCATCACAGTTGCATTAGCATTGCCTTTGTTGTGCCATCGCTCTGGAGGGACACACAGCCAGGGTTAGAAGGGCTTTCCAAGGACCTGTGCCATAGCAGCCCCAAGATGTTAGTTCATGGTATTTACTAGATTGCAGACAGGAAACTGTTCTGGATTCTCAACCCCTTTGGGGGAAAACTTACCTCAACTTGCTCATGTTTAGCATCGAGAAAAGGACCCAACTGGAACAAGAAAATAAGAAGTCAACAAAGGAATTTCAAGAGAGAAAAGTCTATCCCTTACATCCCGCCTGCTCACTGACTGGTGCTCTAGCCCTGACTTGCGACCCAGGGTGCATTAAACATAGGTAACATACAAGATGCAGCTGGAGAAAAAGTTTTCTAGAGATTAGACCAAAGACTGGGAGCCAAGACTCCTGGGTTCTAGATGTTAACTCAGGAAAGATGTATGGTCAAATGGACAACTCAGAGGAAGGAGAGTCAGGATGCTCTAGTTAAGGATAGTGATAGAAATGTAGCCATGTTAGTCTGGGGTAGCTGAAGCAAAATGCAGGACAATGTAGCACTTTTTGATCTGAGGAAGTGGGTCTGGCCCACGAAAGCTCATCATCTAGTTAAGGAGAGAGCATAATTTGTCTTAGTGGATGACAGCAGGGGACTGGGAGTCAGGTATGCCGAGCATGAGTATGCTTAGAACAACTAAGTCACTTTGACTCACCGTGCCTCATCATTTAAACAACTTGGATTTGCACTACTCGCTATGGGCTCGAACTCTGTGGACCTCAATTCTATTCCCAGTTCTACTACTGGCCTGCTGAGTGATATAAGCAAATAACTTCCTCTTCCCCTCGCCTCAGTTTTCCATCTGCAACAGGGGGATTGTGTTATTCTGTAACACACTAAGAAAGCTACAGATAAAAAGCTCTATAAAGAGAAGCTACGAGATTTAAACTGGGAAAGTGTTTTGCAATGAATGAACATAGGTTTTGCAACATTCCATACAAATGAACCCTGTGGTACTTTAGAAACCAACAGATTTATTAGGGCATAACCTTTATATGTTACCCGCAAAAGCTTATGCCCTAATAAACCTGTTAGTCTGTATCTACAAAAACAATGAGGAGTTCTGTTGCACCTTAAGAGACTAACAGGGCTCCCTCAGACTTTTCTCCATACCAATGGTCCATTTAACTCAGTCTATCAGCCATTATCAGGTGCCTTTGAGGAGCCTTTGGGTATGTCTACACTGCATTCCTCTTTTGGAGAGAGGAATGCATTTACTCCTTATAAAATGCGGTTTAAGGCTTATTTCAAAAGAAGGGGTTTCTTTCGTAATAACTGCGTCTGGACAGCATTTCTTTTTTTGAAATAGCAGCCGGATGTGATTATGCAAATGAAGCATGGGAAATTCAAATCTGCGCTTCATTTGTAATTTCGCTCATGCATTCCTCTCTCCAAAAGAGGAATGCAGTGTAGACATACCCTCTGGGAGGACAATTATGGAAAGTTAGGTGTGGATGACTTCTAATGGAAAGCAGGAGGATTTGTATCTCTGAAAAAAAGTGACCCCATCTAATAAATTGTCTGAAGGTATTTTTCATTGTAATAAATTCAAATCCAATCCATTGGTATTATCTCATAATCCTAACTAAGACCAAAACCCTCACGTCAATCTGAGCACGAATTTTCCCACTACTGAGACAAAGTTCCACAGAATCCTAATATTCTACAGTGTACAGATCAAACAAATCAGCTTAGGCTGCAGATTGCCTTGTTTCAAGGTGCCTTTCACCTTTTCTGACTATAAAGGCAAGTCATTGACTCCCAAGGGAATTTAATAACTGGTTGTATTTGTTGGACAGTCACAGGGATTGTGAGGCTGTGGGTAACTTTATGTAGTTACATACAGAAACTAGACTTCTCTTCTGGTTTAAGATCATCGTGCATTTTTTAAACACATAAAATGAGATTTATCTAACAGTGTTACTCCAACAAGTATCTCTGGGAAGAGACAGTTTGGTTTCGAAGTCATGCTAGGCCCTCTAGTGGGCTCTTTGATAAACCTTATCCCTAGTGTGGCATATCATCTGAAAAAGCTCTTTGGTTCACAGCTACTATTGTTTAGATTTCAATTTAAAGAAAAAAAATCAAAGATCACATCAAGACGCTTTACTCAAGTTCACATCTATCCAGATCCCATCTGAGACACTGCAGCTATAACGCTGCTAGAGGCAACATGGGCTAATGAATGAAGTACTAGTCTAGAAGTCAGAAAACCCCCATTCTTTTTCCCAGCTGCTACTGTACAAGTGTGGACAAATCACCTCCCTTACTTTGTCTTGCCTATTTAGGGCAGGGACTGTTTCACTATGTAGCAGTGCAGTATTTGTTACAAGACCCCCAACCTCAATTGGGTCTCTGAGATCTACCAGAATACAAGAGCTACTTCTGAATACCACTGTGTACTTACACTCACTCCTAGAAATAATTCAGTAATTTACATTTCAGATGGGGACACTTGTGAGACAGACTTTTCCAAGGCAACCAAGAGTGGCAGAAACAGAGCTCCTGCTTCAAGTCACTAAAAATCCTAATACAATCTACTTGCCTGTTGTGCACCCAATTCACAGTAGGTCAGACACCCTTTGGATAGATCAGCATAAGAGGTCCTAGAATATGAACTAGTGTAGGCCTTAACACTTTGAAATGAACTTCTGTCTCAAGGAAATATGTAATCCATTGATCAGTGTCTCTGCCTCCAAGCCTGACCCAGAGAGAATTTGAGCATGTTACAGCACAACTAGAGACAGGTTCACATCCTTTATGGACTGGGGACAGAGAAAGGCATGTACTAACTCTGGGAGTATTCCCTGTCAACCAAAAAGATATTCATATTACAGTAAGGTTTGCATTTACATCAGGGAATTCAAAACTTCACGTGGCAATAAAAAAAAAAAGCATTCATATATTATGGGCCTTGTAAGAGAACTTGCAGAAATAAGCTTTGACTAAGAAAGGTCATATTGCTTTTGAATTGGAGCCTAATTGATCACAGCTGAGTTTTCATGTCATTTTTTAAGCCTTTTTTTTTTTAAATGCAAACAGTTTTCAGCTACATGTTATACCATTTAGTTACAAAGCCACTGCATAAAGAAGAGAAATAATACCAATGTCCTGAAAGCGCATGTTCATTAAATATCTGACAGCACTTTTCATAAGAGCATTAACCCCAGTGTCCTGGCTAAACTCCAGCTTTGAGTAATTCCATTCTGCCTCTTTCAAATCCCCACCTGCAATTTTAGTTAGAAATGGGAATAATCTTCTCTTCTAGTCCTCAGCAGTTATGTTATGTTGCTATAGTTGGCAAAAAGCTGCAATGATTCTCAGAGAATGTGTGCTTTAAAATCCTATTATGGACAATGGCCACAATTTGAATTGAGACCTCACTGTGCTAGGAACTATACAAATATACAGAAAGACATTGTAAGCACTATAGAGCAGTGACTTTCTAAAGCCCTAATCTTGCAAAAAAAATTATGCGCATGCTTAACTTTAAGCACCTGACCAATCCCATTGACTTCAATAGCACTACTCACATATCTAGAAATAAGCACCTTCGTGCTTTCTCCCATTCTGCCCCTCAAACTGACAAAACCTCCCCCAAGATACCCACAAAGCTACATCATCCTCCTTTAAAACCCTCCTCAATACTCCTGTGATGCCTACAAAAGTGACAATAGTTGGCAGCTGGTGTGCTGAGACCACAGCCTAGCATATTGGCTAGTACAATCTCATTGTTTCCACGTACTCCTCTGTATGTATCCATCCATTTTCTCTTGTCTTAGGGTACGTCTACACAGCAGGGCAAAAGTTGAATTAAACACAACTTCAGCTATGTCAATTGCATAGCTGAAGTCAAATAGCTTAATTCAACTTTTAGCACTGTCTACACATTAGGAAGTAAAAGGAAGAACACTTTTCCTTCGACTTCTTTTACTCCTTGTAAAATGAGAGTTACAGGAGTCGGAGTAAGTCATCCTCCATCAACATGATTTTGAAATAATGGCTTGCTGTGCAGACAAAATAACATTAGTTATTTTGAAATAACACTGCTGCGTAGACATATCCTTGGAGTTTAAGCACCTTAATTGCAGCGTCATCTTTTTCTTCTGTGTTACTACAGCACCTACAGTAATTGGGGGTCTTGTTCCATGATCAGAGCTCCTAGGTGCTATGGTAATACACTACCATATCTGGTCGTAAATTACATTCTGATCTTTCAGTATATTTTATTATTTGTAACAGTTGAGGTAGAGGAGAACAGGTCCTATATAAACATAAGACATTTCAGAATAATTTCTGGGGAAAAAGTTGTTTCTCAAGGGACTCCTAGTTGGGACTGCAGTGCTAGTCCTGCCAGGAGCTCCCTGGGGGAAGGCCCCTGCATGGAATCCCATGGAAGTCAGTGGGCTCCACAATGGCCAGGAGTCCATCTGTACAGAACTCATTGCATGATCCGCATCCAAAAACATGCAGCTCTTCTCCAAAATAAAAGAAAAGGAAGGAATCTTCTCTTACCAGGATACAGACGTCTGGCTTGTCTTTGTTGATAACATCAATCAGATCCAACATAGGATCATAAGTGATGCTGTCAGAAGTTGTGTAGGGCCCACAAGCAACCAAGACCATCTGCTGCTCCAAATCTAAAATGTATTGCAACAATTTCAACACAAGTTTCTAAGCTCCCCCTTTGCCCATAGGGCATCCTCTATCCTGCCAACATAGATACAAGTGAGGGATTTTCATTTCCCTTCGCTTGGTGCTGTTTGCTCTAAGATCTTGCTCTCAGATGTTGCACACTGAAGCATCCATCATAAGTCAAGACAGACACTATAATGCAACATGTAAGCTCGGATACACACTAAGGATGTCAAGAAGCAGGTCATTGGCTAATCATTTAGTCAATACAATTTGTATTGATACACAATAAGTTGAGAAGGGGAGGTACTCTGTCCCATCTCACACCATGTCTAGGCGCTACCCCTGATGCAGCTCTGCAGTTTAAATGTAGTAGGAGCCGGGCATGCAGCCCCGCCCCATGCACATCAGCATTAAACTGGGGCGTGATTCAAGGGACGTTGAGCCTGCCTGATACAGAAAGACTGGAGAGGTCTACAGTGACTTCTCAGCATGGGATGATCTGATCCCTTTCCATCTGGTTCCCTCCCTGATTGATCTTCCAACAGATGGAAAATGGATTAAATATAAATTTGGGCCTCTCAAAAATTCTAACTACAGTCCTTTGTTTAGCTTTAAACCAGACCCTGAAATTAGTTCAGCTTTTCATTACATTCTCAGTGCAGAGTCAAAACACAGGAGATTACTTTAACAATAGATCACTGGGCTTGGATCCAGGAACAGTCTCCCAATGGAACTATTAAAAAAAATTGCAAGCTATGCACAGTAAAGAGTACAGAATAATGCTTTAAAACAGTTACATGTGCACCAGATCTGAGAAACTGCACTATCTGCAGTTTGTGCTATTGAATGTGTGTTTGTCTAATCCTCTACAATATCAATATGCAAAGCTAGCCTTGCTTTTCTAACCAGGAGGGGGAGAATCTTTAAAATGAACTCACCTTCAACTTGCTCTGTAGATTGGTAGAAAGGAAGGGGCACCCCCTGAAAAGAAAGGATACTTAAAAATTATGCAAGCAAAGGGAATAATTGCACATGGCCAAATTCTACTCTCAGGAACACCAATATAAAGTCACAGTAGGCTCTGGTCCATAGCTTCCACATGAAAGACATTTAATCCACCCCTGCACTGAAACAGTCTCTGCAAGAGTAAGGAGAAAGTCTGATTTGATCAATTAATAGGGACAAGTACATTCCTGGGTGGTTATCACATGCCTCTGTGGTACCATGAAGCATAAGACCAAAGGACAAGTGACTCCAACTACACGTGATGTGCATTAAGCTCTATAAATCTACTGCCCACAGGAGCTTAGTGAGATTAAGAAATTGGGGGAGAAGTCAGCCTCACTCATTACTGATCTATCGGACATCGCTGCAGCAGCCATCCAAAAGCACTTGGACAGCCTCAGACATACTCGAGGTGAGAAATACTTAAGAGGTCTTTGCAAGGTGTCTAAGACATAAAATAAAGATGCAGTGGACAGACCCGAGCTGTAGGAGTACGAGTTACTTGGGAAGACATAAGGGGTTACCCTTTTCCAGAAGAGGGAGTTATTTAATCAGAATTATTTCACAATTAAATTATTTTGAACACTCAATTATAAAATCCCTTGTAAGCATCTATGCTGAGTTTCTAATGTATTCGGGTGCGGGGGGATGGGAGCGGGGACACTCCAGCCTTTCCTCCCCCTTTCCACTTCTTCCCCTAAGTGCACCCAGCCTAGGGATGTTAAATATCAGTTAACCTCATGAATTCTTATCGGTTACTCGACTATTCTATAGTCCCCGGGGTGGGACTGGCAGCCAGTACTCTCCAGCCTCACTCCCGGGGACCCACCAGCCACCCTGTGCTGCTATCTCAATAAAAGCCAACTCCCCTTGCGAACCAGCTGCCTATCTAGGGGTAGGGGCTGAGCTTCCCGACCGGTCATGAACCCAAATTGAGCCAGGCTGCCTGCCTGGCTCCTAATACACTTTAAATGCAGAGTTGCAGCAGGGGTAGTTCTTGGACCCAGCATGAGTCAGGACTGAGCCGGGCTGTTGGCCAGCCTGCTAAAAAATTCACTGGGGGGGATGCACGTAGTCTATAGCATTAACCGATAAGCTTTTTAGACTACACTATTATATCCCTAATCTAGCTCTCGCTCCTTCTCCTCTTTTCCCCCAGCACCTCCTGCGTGCCACACAACAGTTAATCAGGGTGGGTAATAGATGCTAGGCCACCAATGAGCAAGAGGCATGGGGGGTGGGGGAGGGCACTGACAAGGGGACTACCAGTGGGTGCTAAGCACCAACAATTCCCCCCCCCTCCCCCGTGGACACCCATGGAATTTATGCCTATGCTTGTAAGAAGAGATAAGTTAGTTTCTGGAAAAGTTCTCATCCTGCTCCTGATGTTTACAGACAGCCCAAAGATGCAAGAAGAAAAGTAAAGAATGTGCACTTTGAGTTACTCACCTCATACAGCTTAGATGGAACCAGTTTTCCACCTGTACTGTTAATACTCTCCATTATCACAACCTGGAAACCAGTTAATAGGAAAAAAAAAAACACTCATGATGCTAAAATGACAGGTTGTTTGGACTCATTGACAGTCTAGCTCTTTCCTAATATCTAGCTATTTTGTATTGTTTTCAGTAGATTCCCAAAGCGCTTTATGAAAGAGGTCAATATCATTAGCCCCATTTTTACAGTGGGGAAACGGAGTCACATTACCTTATAAGAAAACCTTTGTGGCCTGGTACACACAATGCTGGACTAGGGACTTGGAACTGTCATCTTGGGCAAGTAATCTATTTTTTGTCTATCTCCAAAGCAGTAATAAGACGTTGGTTGTTATTTTTCATATCCATATCTCAAAGTGCTTTACAAAACAAAGCAAGCAGATAGATTTTACAGATGGATAAACTGAGTCAGACACAAAGTGATTTTCAAAGTTACCTAGATTCCACTGAAACACATTAGGCTCCTCTGATGATTCTAACTCTCCTTGCCTAGCATGCTAGAACCGAGGTCTCAAACTTTGAAAGCCACCTTACATAATTCCTGCACCTCAAAGTAAAGGACAGATTTTTCTAGTCCTTACTGCCTCCAGAAATATATCCTATTCAACACCTCACCTGTCCCGGAAAGAGGGAGTATTCTTTAAGTTCTGATAAATCCACAGGAACTTGCCCTCCTGAGGAGTGTTCCCGATCCCCTTCTAGAATGACTGACTTGGCATTCAGTTTTCCATTGCTGTCACAGCCAATCTGTCCCAGTACAGTGACTGGCTCCTACAGAACAGAAAGCACAGTGTGATCTTAGCCAAAGGGTTCCTATTTACTCCAATTTATCTCTCATGCAAGACATCAGTTTTTGAAGTTCCACAAATTTCCAGGGCATGGATTTTGCCTTAAACTAAGTTGAACAGGAAGAGAACTCAGACCTAATTGTCAGGCCCAATTTTCAACCTAATAGAGCCACTCAATGTGCAGTGATAGTCAAAAAAAAAAAACCATAACAATGGACTTCAAAGGAAAAAATATAGTTCTCTTGATTAATCAGTTGTAGATGCGCAACTCATTGCTGAAACTATGGTAACAATTTGTTTGCAAACTGGGTCCATTTTTGTGGGCCAACTTGGCTTAAGGAGGAAGCAACAAAACCAAGCAAGTTGGTGCACAGTCACAGTTGTATCTCAAGTACACACACTTTCATGAACCTTAGTACTGTTATCTCAGAGGCTCACAATAGTTAAGGTCTTTATCCTCACTATATCCTGGTGTGGTAAGGAAAGCATCATTATTCCTTGCACAGATGAGGAATTAAAGCACACAAAGAGTAAGTAAGTGACTTTCCAAGTCACACAGGGAGTCTGTTGGCCAAGCTACGAATTGAACTCAGGTGTCCAAGTCCCAGGACAGTGCCTAACACTGGACCATCTGTCCTCTCAGCTGGAACACTTCTAGACTGACTCACTGGAAGTCTACCATTCTGCTCCCCACCTCATCACATGCTCCAGATGGTCTTCTGGCTCTGTGGGTTCTCCTTATGCATGAAGGCTAGTCTTACACCTAATTTATATGGATAACATCCACTGTTAATAAGACAGGAAGTTTAGAAGGAATTTAAGCCTTGCTGCCTAAAGCTATATTCCAGTGACTGAACAATAGGCACGTGGAAGGCCCCTTCTAGGAGAATTCCATCATTGTCCTCTTTGTTGGTTTTTATACGCTCTCTGGGTATGTCTACACTTGCCCCCTAGTTCAAACTAGGGGGCAAGTGTAGACATACCCAGAGAGAGGATATCAGGTTACACAGACCCTGGTCTCATGTACTCTGGCAAGTCCTCTGCTCTGATAATTTTTCCTTGAGAATAAGGAAGCAGAGGGTAATTATACAACATGACATTGACCAAGAGACTCAAAGATGCAACTTCTATACATCCTGCAATATTTAAAAATGGGGAAAAAAAATCACAGCAAGTACAATCGAGTGACAAAGACATAAGAACAGAAGAGACTTGCAAACACACACTTATGAAAAAGCTCCTGAGCTGCAGTGGTTACCTGTGCAGGGACTAACACAGAAGTGAACTCCTCAATCTTGTAGTATTTCTTTAGTGCATCCCCAAGTTCTTCTGTCTTCCAGGACAACACTAACATTATTAAAAAAAAGTAAGAAGATTTAAGATTTCTGTAGAGATAAGGAAATAGAACATGAAGTCAGAGAAACAGAGTTTCTCATTCAGAATCCAATGTATTTACCTGGCTCCCCAACTAGGGAACCTAAATGCCTCACAAATTTTTAACATAATCATCCCCACATTATCCCATGCAAGCTAGGGAAGTGCTATTATCCCCATTTTATAGATGGGGAACATAGGCACAGAGAAAATAAATGAATTGGCTAATCTTAGGTATGTGAGACTGTGTTTTAGCAACTGTGTAAGCACTGAAGTTCTGAGCAGGCTCCCCAACTAGGGAACCTAAATGCCTCACAAATTTTTAACATAATCATCCCCACATTATCCCATGCAAGCTAGGGAAGTGCTATTATCCCCATTTTATAGATGGGGAACATAGGCACAGAGAAAATAAATGAATTGGCTAATCTTAGGTATGTGAGACTGTGTTTTAGCAACTGTGTAAGCACTGAAGTTCTGAGCAGTTACATCTGAGGTGGAGAACTTTTTTTGGGTCGGGGGCTGCAGACCGGGGGGGG